GGGTTTGCATTTGGCCTTGTTGTTTTAATATGTGTAGACTTATTTTCACAACATGAAACTTAAAACATGTATAAATGGAGAATTTGTAAAAGAAAATATCGATTTTGCAATTGGTCGTCACCTCATAATTGCAAAATCCATATTTCCTTGCAAACATGTACCCCTCTAACCATGTTGTGAAAAGATGGCTATGTATATTAAGAAAAAAAAAGGTAAAATATAAGCCCCGCCCACCCACCCAGTCTCAAATGTGATGATTTTTTTTATTTGTCGTAAGCCAAGGGGGCGGAGCTTAAATGCAAAATACTTATTTCCTACGAGAAATTAAAAACATGTATGTGAGTATCGTGTTGTTCAAAGAATACCATGTATATTAAGAAAAAATAATTAAAGCCAAAGATTAGGCCCCAGCGATACCCACCCCGATCTAAATTCTCAATTGTAATAAATTTTTCATTCGTTGTCAGATCAAGGGGCGGAGCTTAGTTGAAAGATAATTGACTGGAAGAATGTGCCAATTTTAAACAAGTTTTAAGTTTCTTGTTCTGAAAAGACGTCTACGTGTATTAAGAAAAAAAGACAAAATATAAGCCCCACCTACCCGCCCTATATCAATTGTGATGATTTTTTTTAATTGTCTAGAGCCAAAGGGGCGCAACTTAATTAAATCCTTATTATTTCACTACAAGAAATTACCATGTAAGACATGTTTATGAGTACCATGTTATTTATAGTATACCATGTATATTAAGAAAAAATAATCAAAGCCAAAGATTAAGCTCCACCCATACCTGCCCTAAATAGTAATGAAGTTTTCATTCGTTGGCAGACCTAGGGGAGGAGCCTAATTGCAAAATCCATATTCCCTTACAAAAATTTACCATTTTAGACATGTTTTAAGTTTCTAAGAAAAAAAATCATCACAGTAGAGATGGGTTAGATGGGTCTATTTTTGTCTTTTTTTGTGCATAGTATTCTTTGAAAAACACGATACTCAAAAACATGTATTTAATTTCTCGTAAAGAAATAAGGATTTTGCAGTTAAGCTCCGCCCTCCTGGTTCACGGCGAATAAAAAATTATCACGATTGAGACGAGGGTGGGTGGGCGGGATTTGTATTTGGCCGTGTTATTTTAATATGTGTAGACTTCTTTTCATAACATAAAACTTAAAACATGTATAAATGGAAAATTTGTAAAAAAAATATCGATTTTGCAATTGGTCGCCATCTCATAATTGCAAAATCCATATTTCCTTGCAAAAATGTACCATTTTAATCATATTTTAAGTTTCTTGTTGTAAAAAGATGGCTATGTATATTATATAAGAAAAATGAAGGCAAAATATAAGCCCTGCCCACCCGCCCTATCTCATCATCAAATCATCTCATCCCAAAATGAGTCAACTTATTTTATTGATTCAACCAGGAACTGTTATTTTTCAATTTCCATTTTACACTAAATAAAATAAGTCAGTGAAATGGAGAAAGGGGGTCGGAGGGGCTAAATTTAGTTTTTTTCTAGTTTTACGAGTAAGCAGTAGCCCCGCCCACCCACCCTTGTTCGTTTCAGTGACTACTCTTAATATTATTCAGTCCAAACTTAGCAAGTTTTAGCCCCGCTCACCCACCCTTTTTTTCTTAGAGGATATGTTATTTACCAAAATCAATTTTATCTTAGCAGATGTTAGCTCCGCCCACACACACTGTTCTCATTCTAACGATTTTATCTCTCTTCAATTGTCATGTTTGCCAAGAAGAGATTCGTCATTAATTAAGAACCAATGAAATTAGTCACTCGTTTTATTGGCTGTGAGACGAAAATCTTGACAAACAATAGTAAAATAGACTAAAAGGTAACATTAATCCCACCCACCTGCGTCTGCATTTCATTGGCTTACCTTATTTACTGTCGAATTCTATTTTGACAAGCGACCGAATATAATTAAAAAATTTTAAAGTAGCCCCGCCCACCCACCCGGTTCTCGCTCTAATTACTCATTTTATTGGATAAAAAGAGGCGTTTACATTGATACACAGTGGAATGTAGACAAAAGGATGAAACTAACCCCACCCACCTCTGTTTTTGAATTCCAGTGGTTTTTTTGATTAGATAAAGATTGAATTTTGTTTTGTCAGTGGTCGAATCTGCTCCTAAAAAATTCAAATACCAATTTCCACCCATTTGCGACGATTTTCGAAATTTAACTAAATACATTTTCTCGTAGATTTCGGTCTCATTTCTTCGATTGCTCAAACCGTTTTTCAAAAATTTCGATTTCATAACCAATATTTCGAAAATGTTGTTCCGCGACTATAAAAACGCTATATTTTTGGAATCAGCAAGTTGAGATCCATATCCCTGAATTTTTTGGGAGTTTTGAAACAACTTTTACAAAAATGAAGTTTTTCAATAGGTATGTTTTTTCGAACATTTTTGAAATTTAACTAAATACATTTTCTCGTGATTTCGGGCCGTAGAAGTCACTTTCGGCCTAATTTCTTCGATTATTCAATCCGTTTTTCCAAAATTGTTCACCAAATTATTAAAATTTTTAGAAATTAAAAAAAAATCCAATTTTAAGATAAAACTGATTTTGGCAAACGACATACCTCTAAGAAAAGAGAGAGTGGGTGGGCGGGGCTAGTAGGTACCTACTAAGATAAGACTGATTTTAGCAAATGAGATACCTTCCAAGAAAAGAGAGGGCGGGTGGGTGGGGCTAGTACCTGCTACGATAAAAGTGATTTTGGCAAATGAGATATCCTCTAAGAAAAGACAGGGTGGGTGGGCGGGGCTAGTACCTGCTAAGATAAGACTGACTTTAGCAAATGAGATACCATCCAAGAAAAGGGAGGGTGTGTGGCTGGGGCTAGAGTGCCTTGACAGAATATGTATAGATATAGATTTTAGTTCAAATTTTCTTGCTATTTCTCTACAAGAAACTAACCATGTGAAAATTGTTTTTAAGTATGACGTTGAAAGAAAAGTATTTTAACACTGATAAACATAGAAATCCAAGTGGCGAATTAGGCTTAAAAAAATACAAAGTGGCCCCGCCCACCCACCCGGTTTCCCTTCTTATCATTCATTTTATTGGACAAAAAGGGGTTTTATATTGATAAACATTGGAATCTAGACCAAAAGATGAAACTAACCCCACCCACCTCTGCGTTTGGATTTCATTGGTTTTTTTGATTAGATGAAGACTGAATTTCACTAAGTCAAATGGCCAACTAGACTTAGAAAAATTCAAAGTGGCCCCACCCACCCGGTTTTCTTTTGGTCACTGATTTTATTGGACCAAAAGTGCATTATATAGAAGAAAACAAAATTAAAATCATTCGTCATTCTGAGGCAATACTTCAGGTAATTTTTGGCTGCCGCTTCACACTCTTTTCAACAAGAACTTAATTTCGCTTTCAACGGGTCATCATTTTCTCTATCTATAAACAACTTTCCGGATTTTGTTGACCTTAATAATTACCAATAAAGTGAATGTGGTGGTCATAAAGTCGTCGCGTGATCGTTCGAAAGCGAACCGAGAAAAATATAAAACTCTTGATGATTCATTCTTTCTCAAGAAACCGTATGACGAACGAGGACTTTTTACGTCCGACTGACCCCCACACCTAACCCTCCTTTCCACTATTAATTGTTAAATCCGAAAGTAGAGAGCGTCAAATTTCCACTAACGTCAAACTCAGCCTCACTAATTAACAAAGTACGTATAACCAATTCCAACCAGAACTGATGTGGCTATCGCCATCACAACTCCCTAACTTGTTCCCAACATCTTTTCGTTCCCTAGAGTAGTTTGGCAGAGTTCAAGACCGTGTTAGAGCTTCAAGTTCTTCGGTTAAAATTCACTGCTTACAATTGTGCTTTTTATGGACTAGTTTACGAGATGAAAACGTTGCTGGAAACGTGCGTCGAGGTGTTTATTTATGCACAACATTTATGAAATTTGGGGTCTTAGCATAATTTCCGGGTCAGTCATCCACATAAATATTTTTTGGAGGGCGGGTTTGATGTCTTAGCCTCGGGCAAACGCAGACTTGTCCTGTGTATTTAAGTTGGGTTATTATTGAGTTCGTTCCATTGAAAGTAACTCACAATTCAGTCCACTTTGCCACAATACGCGCACAATACATGCTGATGTGTTATAAAGATATTACGACGTACAATAGGATGTATTTATAACAAGGCGAAACTTGGTTTTCGTATTAAATTATAAAACAACAATAGGCAGGAAATAACAAAACGGCGTTCTCGACCCAGGCGCTCTCTTTCCCTTTTTTGTAATAAAGTTGACGTGGCCTACGCCCCTCGTCTATCTCCGGAATCCCGACAACTTCCCATGTATAAACTTTGAACGCCTTCATGTTAATTAATTTTATTAAGTCTGAACTGACCACGTTTTTTACTGACGAAACCGTACGAAGTACGGGCGTTCGTTTGTCTTCTCGTGTATTGTTTCCGGCGAAGTATGAAGTCGCAGCCGCTAATTACTTTAGTGCAGTTTAATTAAAAATCCCGCGTAAATTAAAGAAAACGAGCGGCGCGAGTGTCAAGCCCGATCTGTGAGGTCGCGATAACGCTCAACTTTGCACCACATGAAAACCAACATTGCAGCATTTATTTAGCCAAATTTACACAGTGCTTAATAAATTACTAAATAATTTCGCAATTACCAAACGAAGCGGATTTCCATGGACGGAGAAAATAAATTATTAATCTGCCCACCTGAAAGCCGAAAAGAATGAACTAATTCAATTTTATCTTTGAGGGGGAGTTTTCACTCTGTCACACGTATTTTCTTGTTTACGTTATATTTGCTAAATTCGGCACGTCTGCAGACTGGTTGAATTACATAGAATTTTTTGATCGTAAGTAAATTCCGAATCTAATTTTCTCCCTCCGCCTAAAATCCAACTTTCTCTTCTTTGCGCCAATTATCGGGCTGTTTACATTAATTCCACACTCGCGACAATCGATCAGATTCGAGCTCGGGGACAAAAGGCAATAAGGGGATGTGCACGTTCGAAGATGTAGCTGAATATTCCGATATAGCACAAGCTATTCGATTTAATTCGGTTAATACACTGGGGGTCAATAAGATGGCCGTAAATCACAGCCGCCAGAGAGGGAATTATAAGCCGCTCAGGGCGTTTTTAGGCAAAAGTGAGCCAGGAATTTTTTTCTTCAAGTTGGATAAAGTGAATCATTGACACAAATTGTATCGTGCTTTGATAGGAAAAGCTTTGATGGGTTAAATACAACCATTGTTTAAGTATATTATAGTTGGACAACCTAATACAAATTTTACTTCGCCTAAATAGTGAGCTTTAGGACAAGGAATCCAGGGGGCGTGGGACAAATTTTTCGTCAACGCGCATTTTCACTACAGTGAGCCAACGTATTAGGTTTATTTTACTCTAAATCAGATGGCGCCATCAAACATTAGCAAAGGCAAACACCCTTCACTCTGCTCTTATACGAGGAGTTATCCATAAATCCATAATTAACATTGTTCCGTAAACAGTAATGTGTATAAACATATATGTACAAAATATGAAAATATACTTGACATAAAAAATATGAACAACGCGTTGTAACGTGATAAGAAAGAATTGAATTTAAATGAATTTGACGCATATTTTTATTTGACTATATGTGAAGACTGACAGAAACTTTCCAAGGGTTTTTAAACTGGTATAATTGTTTAGTTTTACAAGATTAAAGTAAAATAAGATTTTAAGTAAAATTTAGATTCGTGGTGTTACAAAAATATTAACACAAAATGAAAATATATGTTCAATGTAAATAACAGGATGACATAAACTTTCGGCGTTAACATTACAAATAATTACAAGAGATAAAAAAACGCATAAACAACTTAAGAGGCATGTTTGTAATATCGAGTTGTTAAAGGCTGCTTTGAAGACTGTTTGTTTCTATGAAAAACAATTGCTGTTATCGGACATTTTGGTAGATTTTGTTCCAAAAATCCGAGATAACTAATTGTTTCTTGAACTAGTTTCTGTAACTTCTAAAATTTAAAAAGGATACGCCGTTCTGCTGTAATAAAATCTAGAATAAGGTCAAAATCACACTAATATTACATCTGATTTTGTTAACCACATGAATACAATTTACATTAAAATAAGTTACAGACATTGTTTGAAATGTTTATTATAGTTCGAAAACAAGATAAAATAAATAAATAAATAAATAAAATGTGCAGTTTATAAACTTCAGAATTTTAGTATAAAAATAATCATGTTTGAAGCTTTATTTTGTCTGTTCCATTTTATTGGGTGTATTGGGCACCTCTCGGGACATAACACCGACATCATTGCACTGACCCAACGTTCTTCAACCGATGGGATGATTTATTACTTCCGTTATGCTGACCCTACACACAGCGATTTGGTTTTCGGATTTTCGGCTAGATCTGCACAGTTAACTCTTTGCGCACTGCATACTGACATAGAGTATTTTGTTCACGCGAGCATCAAAAACATTACGCCGAAAGCACTTCTTCAAGTGTTATTTTTTTTAAGATGTCATATTTGTCAGAGTTTCCAAAATTTTCTTCTTTGCACAGGTCAACTAATTTTTCGTAAACCGCATTTTAAAATTTTTGTTATTGTATTTTTTACTTTTTAATTTTCTAAGGCATGAAAAAATCCCTTATAGGTTTCTATGAATTTATTAACGAAATCAACTGATAACTTGCGCGCCATTTTGTGTTAATTAACACCAATAGTGATTATGATAATTTTATAATTATCATTTTAATGAAATTGTGTTCTTCACTTCGCGAACGACAGCAAACAATTTAAAATTACCGTTAGTCAAGCACCTGAAAATCCATCTCTCCCAAATATGTCTTTCTTGACACGATTTGTAATGCGAAGTGTCCCTCCACATGCAATTTTTCGTCGCCTGAGAACTTGTTTGATCTACAGACCAAAGCTCACTCAGGCCAATATCGGCTTTAAGCGATTTATCTATAAACCGATATTCGTTAGAGTTGATGTGATACAATACATCCACTACGAAGAACTAACCCATTTCGACCATTGGACTTTACAACGAATAAGTGAACAAAGTTCTTGAACATCTTAACGATTTAATACATAATGTTCCCGAATGACAAAATTTACATTTCAAATTGTATTATCAAATTACACTCTCCAAAATTTGTCACGAACAATGAAATGACGCAATCTCTAAATTTTACAATAGTAAAATTGTAGTTTGGCCCCGTTTACGGTTTATGCATCCGTGTCGAGTTTTCACCTTAGACGTCAAAATTTTTGGAAAAAAAATCAACATTTTCCAATTTATAATGTTATGTATTTAAATTTAGAAAGTAGAATAGTCCTGATGTTGTGATTTATACCTAAATACGCTATTGGGATTTTTCGGCTTGTCGATTTCTCGATTTTTCAACTTTATGTGTCTCAATTTTTCAATATTTCAATTTTGGGCTTTTCCGATTCCTCCATTCTTTAAATTTTCTATTTCTCGATTTTTTTATTTTTCGATTTCTCAATCTTTCGATTTTTCAATGATACAATTTCTCAATTTTTGTCCTCTTCAATTTTACGGTTTTTAAATATTTCGATTTTTCAATTTTTCAAATTTTCACGTTTCTAAATTTTCAGTTTGCCGATTTCTAAAGTATTTTTTTTATTTGTCCATTTCTGGATTTCCTAAAGTTTCGATTTTTCACATCTTCAATTCCTCAATTTATCGATTTTTTAAGATAACGATTTTTCAATTTTGCTTTTTTAGATTTTCGATTTCTCAATTTTCCAATTTTTTAATTTCTCAATTTTTTGAATATTTCTTTCAGTTATGAAAATTTTCAATATTTCAATTTTTCGACTTTTCGATTTTTGAATTGATGGATTTTTTTTTTGATTTCTCGCTTTTTTCCTTTTTGGATTTTCATTTATTGTAAACTTTAGATTTTTCAATTCTGGGACTGTTTAATGCTTCGATTTCTCAATTTTTAAACTTTTCGATGTTTTAATATTTCATTTTTTAAAATTCTAGGTTTTTCGATATCTCGAGTTTTCAGTTCTTCTATATTTCAATTTTTCATTATTCGATTTTTTGAATTTTAATTTTTGATTTTCCAGTTTTTCTTTTTTAAAATTTTTCGATTATTCAATTTTTTAATTTCTCAATTTATCGAATTCAGATGTTTCGTTGTTTTGATTGTTCGATTTCTCAATTTTTCAATTTTTAACTTTCCTTTTCGGCTTCCTACTCCTCAATTTCTCGATCCTCCGATTTTTCGATTTCTCGAAGTCTCAATTTCGGGATTTTCCAATTTTTCAATGCCTCGATTTTTCAATTTTTCAAATTGAATTGGATCTCTCGATTCTTCAATTTTGCGATATTTTAATTATTCATTGTTTTAAATTTTAGTTTTTTCGATTTCTCGATTTTTTGACTTTTCAGTTCTTCAGTATTTAAATTTTTGAATTTTTCAAATTTTTGCGTTAAATTTTCAGTTTTCTGATTTCTCAATTAATCTATTTTTGATTTTCCCACTTCTCAAAATTTCGATTTTTCAGTTCTTCAATTCTTCGATTTTTCGACTTCGCTTTATTGGTTTGTCGATTTCTCAATTTTTGGATATTTCTTTCAGTTTTGATATTTTTCAATACTTCGATTCTTTCATTTTTCGACTTCTAGATTTTTCTATTTTTTATTTTTGGATTTTCAGTTTTTTGTTTTTTATTTTAATTTCTCAATTTTTCAACTTTTTCATATTTTAATTTTTAAATGTCTAGATTTTTCAGTTTCTCGAGTTTCCAGTTCTATATATTAATTTTTTAAATTTACGAATGTTTAAATTTTTTGAAATCTCAATTCATTGAGATTCGGATGTTTCGATGTTTTGATTATTCAATCTCGCTTTATCAATTTTTTCCATATTTAAGTTTTCGATTTTTCGATTTTGGCCTACTTCGGTTTCTCAATTTTTTCATTTTTCGACTTCTCGATTTTTCGACTCCTCGATTTTTTTTGTCTTTCGATTTTTCGATTTCTCGATGTCTCAATTTTTGAATTTCACAATGTTTCGATTTTTCGATTTGTTGGTTTTTCGATTTTTTGCTTTTCGGTTTCTCGATTTTTCGATGTTTCGATTTTTGAATTATCCGATTTTTCAATTGTCCAGTTTTTTAAATTCTCGACTTCTCGATTCGTTGATTTTTCAGTTTTTCGATCATTAAATTTTAGATTTTTATTTTTAGTTTTGATTTTTTGATGTTTGGATTTCTCCATTTTTCAGTTTTAGGATATTTTAACTTTTCAGTGTTTTAAATTTTAGATTTTTCGATTTTTTAGTTCTTCAATATTTTTTTATTTTTCAAATTTTGACGTTTCTGAATTTTTAGTTTTTGGATTTCTCAATTAATCTATTTTTTTATATTCCCATTTTTCCACTTCCTAAAGTTTCGATTTTTCAGTTCTTCAGTTCTTCAATTTTTCGATTATTCAGGTTTTTGATTTTTCAATTTTTCGATTTTTTAAGGTTGCGATTTTTAGACTCTGATTTTTTGACTTTTTTGTTTCTCAATTTTTTAATTTCCTAATTTTTTGATATTTCGTTCAATTTTGTGATTTTTCAGTTTTTCGATTTCTCAATTTTAACTTTTGAATTTTTGAATTATTAATTTTTTTCGATTTTTTGAGTTTTCAGTTCTCTATATTTCAATTTTTCAATTCTAGGAATTTTTAAATTTTCGATTGTCCAATTTTTTTTTATTTTTCGATTTTCCAATTTTTCGATCTTTCGATTTTTGAATTAACCGATTGTTCAATTTCTCGATTTTTAAATTTTAGATTTTCCAATTTTTATTTTTTTGATTTTTTTATGTTTCGATTTCTCGATTTTACAATTTTCCCATATTTGAATTTTTCAGTGTTTTAAATTTTCGATTTCGAGGATTTACTGTGTTACAGTAGTCATCAGTCATTACTCATCAAGAACGATTATTGCTGTGCGTTAAAATGCCTACATACTGATAACCACGTACATACAAGACACATTTAAGGCTGTTTTAGTATAATTTTTGCAATTTTAAATTTATTTCTTGATGTCTAAATCGTATATATTTAAATGGTGATTAATATTTTGTGATACAATCTTAGGATAAAATACATTTTAGTTTCAAAAATAATATGTATTTAATGATTTGACTACTGTTAATCAAAAAAATACGTAAGAAGATGTTCATATTGAATT